TGTGTGTGTGTACGTCCGTGCGTGCATGCACCGAGAAACCTAAAATTTGCAGTCCTGTCCTTCAGATGACAGACAACTTTTTTTCCTTTCTTAAAAAATGAATTTTTAAAGTCACAATCGACAACATTTAAATAATTTAAGAGGCGGGCTTCCAACTTTGCCTGTCAACTATCACTGTCAGGGCCAATCCGGGTTGAGAGGGATACAACTTCCCAGCAGAAAAACCGAGATAACCGATAAAAAATGTACTTCTCACTCAGGAAGTCGAACACGCGCAGTATCTGTCAGGAGACGACTCCGACGGAGATACACCAATCAAAATGCTCTGTGCCTCTAGACCAAGTAAAAAAATCTGGGGGGGTCCTTAGTTTAACTCATAATTTGATATTTTGCAGTTAGGTTTGAAACGCTCTTGAAAATAATTGATTTGCGGCAGTTTTAGTGACTATATGTGTGATATGCAGCAAACAATATGCAGTTCGACCTCCCAAAAGCAGTGCATCTGTGTGCGGGAGTGCGTCTTCGAATAGTTCCTGGGTGCTCGCCGGAGACGTCTCCGAATATCTTCTGCCCGAACACGAGTCTCCTACGTACGACAGCGAAGCGCCTAACATACTAACCGCTACATCACAGACTCGGATATGACAGACGATGAATGAATATGTCGCATTTTGTAAGAGAAAAGAACAAGTTACCGGTACCCCAAATCAGTGGACAAATTGCAACAATATGTAAAAGCAATCAATCCTTTCAGAAGAGACACGACTATCGCTGCGCTGGTACCAATACTCCTTACTAAGTCTTAATCTGGGTAAAACTCACAAACAGTTTTTGCTTCAGGAAAACGACAAGAGAATATAACATTTACACTTCACAGGAAGAGTCGGACCAGATAGCTGCTGACAGATCATCTTTTTATCAATTTTTTTTTAGCGGGATGATTTTTTGTTTTTGTTTTGTTTACTGGTAGGAGAGAGCTTATCTGATAACATGGCATATCTGACGATAAATCTGGTGTTTTCAACGTTTCAATATCGACGACCAATGACAATGTTGTTTGATACGAAGGTAGCTGATAATATAGATATATATTTTTTTCCATTTAGAAGTTGCGGATTGTTGTTTCAATAAACGAGGTAAAGTTAGTTGTATCAGTGTGTTTGACGGTCTGTCTGTCTCTCTGTCTGTTTGCCTGTCTGTCTGCACATCGACACACATGCACTGGCACGCACGCACGCACGCACGCACGCACGCA